TGAGCACCGCCCCCTAGAGTCGAACACGACTGGACAAAAATTTCCCACATTGTTTTATTGTTCTTGAATATGAAAACAGTGTCTCTGAAAGATGTCCTTAGCTAATCCTAGAGGCACATGATTTGCCATACCTTGGAAATCATGGTTTAAAATGCTTATGGGTGTCCTCTGGCATCTCGAGGAGAGAAAGGCACATTCCATTATTCATGTCATCATCTATGGAATATTGTTTCTGGGATGGCCTGCCTGATGCCACTAAACACTCACAAACCTTTGGGTCTCTACTAAATAAACCACTCACTCTCTGCTGTTTTTATACCCTTTGTGACCAACTGGAAGTGTACCAAGAGACAAGGTTTAGGAAGAATTTCTTTTGGCAGCATTAGCAAGCAGTCACACATAAAAGAATAAGAAGACAAGGATCTTCATGCTTTTCTTATTGATAATGGGTTGCCACGCTTGTATTTTATTCCTTTTCCTCTAACAGGTACATCTCAGTCCCAAAGGGGGGAGGGGTACAACTTAACATATAAACATAATCTACCAAGACAAACCTACAGCATAAATAAAAAATGAATTGTCTCAGTCACTGAAAACAGAGGAACATTTACCCTAATGGAGCATTAACAGGGATAAAGATCAGTGACAGGCTAGACCGTCGGTCTCAATAACCATTACTACTGATATTACTGCTGCTGCTATTGTTACTATTACTACTGTCACTACTATTATTGTTATAATTTTGTTCATACCAAGTAAAGACGGGCATTTCTCCTCCAGTTTTGTCCTTCTTTCCGTTTTCACTGTTCCTGTGGATGGAAAAGGAATAAATGGAAGCTTAGCACAATATAGCTGGTAAGAGAGTATACAGACTCTGGGTTGCATCCAATCAGTCCATTAGCACCCACTTACATATATTGATCTTAAGGGTTCCTTTAGAAAAAACATGACTGACACCTAGATTTGTGGTTCTGCAATTGGGCGGATGCTTTTCATTTATGGAAGGCCTGACAATCCAGCAAAGGAGCACTCTGACAGATGGCAGGGAAGTGATTTTTTTTTAAAAAAAAATGTATTCTAAATCACCTTTGTTCTGGAGAGTCTGCCAACCAAGGGGACAACTAACCAAGACAGTTCTCCTACATTCACTGTAGGGTCTTATGAGCCGAGTTCTACTCACAGGTTGTATAGATCCACATATATGTGGAATAAGATTAACATCCCAACCCAATGGTCTAAATGGGTTCCGGTATGTACATGAAGCCAGATTTCCAATAATTTCCTTACTGGGAGGTAATTCTCTGTGCTTCATACGTGCATGCATCAGATGTCCCAGCACTGATTGACTACAAAATCCATTCCCCATGGACTGAGTACCTAGTAAGTACTGTAACAAGGCCTTAATCTTATGAAGTTGTCAACCTCAGCTCCTTGATCAGATTATCTATTTCAAGCATCTGCTTCTGAAAAAAAAACACCTCTCCTTTATATAGCTCACAGAAATGCATTCTACCCTTCAGAGCCTAGTTCTGAAACTAGGTTGGTTTGACAGCATTATCTCAAGAAATCTGCAAATCTCTTGTGGCCTTCCGAGTACTTTTGTACGGCTCACTACACAAACGTAACCTTTCAACACACCCAGAAATACATCACTCAAGAGGGGAGAAGAAAGATCCTAGATTTCATATTTATGCATCAAACAGGGAAGGATATGAAACAAAGAAAAAAGTGTATATAAGCTCAAGCTCCTTTTTTTTAATTAAAGGAGTACGTGAAATATGTCTGCTGTGTTTTAAATCTAAGCTGCTGGGGAGCTATTAGCTAGAGAATGATTAATAAATAAAATTTTGAAACAGGAGTAAAAAGTATGAAGAAGAAAATAGGAAAAGGAAAGAAAGGTATGGATATTCACTATGTTAATTAAACATGTCAGATTCTATCATCCTGTAATTACCTCATTCAAATTAGCTATGATTCCCATATATGATGACAATCAATTCTGGACGTGCTTCTCAGCACTGAAAATGCTGATGGAAATCAGTGAAGTACAATATTCTGCCCAGGAGGAAATATGGAAAAGGTGCTGGGGAGATGACAAAAACGCCCAGACACCCAAGAGCTGAATCCTGCAAACCAGCATTACAGCCAAACTATAGTTTTATACCTTTTCCAAATTCTTTTGCCAAAGTAGAGGTCTAACTGCACTGCCAAGGAAAACATGCTTTACCTTTAACAGATCTCTTTTCAAAACTATAACTTAGTTTTTGTGTATTGCTGTTGTTTTTGGAAAAAGAACTGATTTTTCCTTGAAATCTTGGCATGTATTCTTTATTGGCCATCATCATGCTTGTGTTTGGCAGAGGATGGGTATGACTTGATTAACACTAACAAAGGGCAAGATCTAAGAGGGCTTCAACAACATTACTGCCAAAGACTGCTGGTATTACTAAACAGTGCCCTGGGTAACTACTTGGAAACAAGAAGTGGGACGACCACAACTGTGATTTAAAATTAAGATAGGGATTCTTTTCATACGTAAGCAGCAGCAAGCATGAGCTTTTTCACCAAGTACACTCTGCTTCCTGATGTGTGTAGCTGAATGATACAGGTTTATAAACAGATGTTTGTCACATTCATGTATCTCTAGGTGTCAGTTCTGGATGCAGAATACAGAAATGCAGTTGTAGAAGAGGTAGTTGTGTTAGTCTGTGCAAGCATTATAGGTGAAAACAAAATAAAAACAAAAAGTAAAAAAAACCTACAAAAATTAAAGACTAACTTTTATATTTTTTAATGTGAGCTTTCATGGACAAGTCCACTTCAACAGTGGAAAATATTTATACAGGGCATCTAAGTATAAATATCAAAATACAGAGACTATGGTTGGTTGGTAAGAAAGTCAATGGGTGTTAAACAATGTGATGATAGTGTCTTTGATACGCAGGCCTTTCATAAAAGCTTCTGCTGTAAAGAATGTGAGAATCTCTGTCATAAATTAACATGTTATATCTCCTTCTCTTACTGTCTAATGAAGTTGACTTCTCCATGAAATCTCACATTATGAAATATAAAAGTTAAGTCTTTATGGTGCCACTTTTTGGTCTTTTTTTAACTTTTTATTTTGCTTTCACTTATATTGTGTTCTGCATGGCTCAAATGTATTTGAAATATTCTCAGAAGGTGCTGACAAATTTTACCTGATGCCATGGGGGCTACTTTGCCATCAGTTAATACTTTCGAAGAATGATACAGTATCATACGGTTATCATCCTTCTCTTTACTGATGTATCCACTACGGAAAGCAGTCTCCGCAGTTAACAATGCTGGAACATCCAGGTTACGGCTTAGGTCAAGAGGGAAACACAGTCCACGCTTCTCAAGTGACACGTGAGCAACACTGGGAACTATATAAAAGAAAGAACACAGTATTAACAACACACAAGCAATGTGATCCTTTGGGCTGTCAAATTACACACCTAAAGTGGCATAAGTCTTGTGTGTTAACACAGATCTTGTTAGGTGGGTAATGTCCTTGCAAAGATTTTAGTTTAAATATTTGGATTCTCTCTGGTTCTTTATTTAGACGGAAATACATTACCCTCCAGTAATGCTTGCAGTTGGTTTGGGACATTGATGGAGAACATTTTTCCATCAGTGACTGGAGAGGGAGAAGGAACTTTGTCTAGAGTATCATGAGGCAATAAGCCAATCACTAAGCACTGAAATATTCGTCTCCGCTTGTTATTTTTGAAGGGTCTAAGAGTACTGTACTCATGGACTGATGGACCTAGAGACCTTGCAATGTTCATGAAGTAGACAAGGGTCACTGTCTTATTCTAATACTTCTAAGACAGTCTTTAAGACAATTGCCATAAATGTTTCTCATCTAGCATCATTACGGCATCATTCTTTAAAGAATCCTCATCAGACTAAAGGAGGAGAAAATAGGTGTATTTAAGGGATGGGTAAAACCTGTCAACTTTAGTTTGTCTAAGTTTCTCCTTCTAATCTGACATCTTGAATGTCCAGAACTTTTAAGAATTTAGTTTTAAAAAACTTGTCTTCTGACACATGCATTTTTGTACACATATTTGCCCAATAGACACATTTTTGCAAGCAACTGTCCTAATAATGTATTTTAATATTAGTTTTACAAGTATATGAAGTTTTATGTAAATCTCTGTGTATTGCATGCATTTTTGTGCACATTTTGGAGAACTCCACAGCGAACTTTCAGTTTGCTATATAAGTTTAAAAATGCAACAGAAAGTAAGCTTACACTGAAATAAGGCTTGGCTGAATTTCAGCTCCATCCATAACATGTCAGCACATATACATAGATTTGCAATGCTTTTAACAGTGTGAGAGATTATCAAAGTGTATCAGATCCAGGTTAACTCACACTTTAGCTCGACTGAAGTCAATGGGATTAATCATGACTAGGTTATTGTATTGATTTCTGTGAGACTAAAAGATAACTAGATGGAATTGGATTCGAGCTATTATAATTTGTCATACTCTAACGTAACATTAATAACCAAACCATTCTAACCTAATTATATTATGGATTAGCACTGGAGCCTTAGAATGCTGTCCCTCTGCCTCACAGGGCTCTATAACAATGTAGTATTTGATGGTCTCTGCACGTTTTTAAACAGTCTTACATTACATGTATAGGGGAACAAATGTCGGGATTTACCTGCATAGCTATTGTCAGGGAGGTTCCATGGTGCAGGAAATATCATGTAACACTTACCCACCCTTCAGTCTAATTCTGCGATTTGTCAGTGATGGTTGGAGGCAGTTGTGATTTAGACTACAGGGCAACCAATTCACCCATCCCCTAAATCTTTTGAAATCTCACTAATTTCAAATGGGAGAGACTCAAGTTCAGATAAAACTCTCCCATGGAAAACAAAAGAATGTCAATATTTTAGGAAGACTACATGTAATGTGATTTATTTCCATGTGCTGGCATCATGGAAACTTTTGAATGAAGACACTAATTGTAACAGCTGGAAGTAGTATTGATGTATAATATTCTCTTGATGCCAAACAACCCCCAAAAAACAAAAATTGAGGAGGGAAGAAAGAGTTTTTTTGCAAATAGTCCCTTTATCTATAAAAGGTGGGAACCATCTTAGCAAATGTAGGACAATAACTGTAGGCTAAAAAGGTTCTTCATTACACTGCTAAGTCTTCGTTTTAAAAAGGCATAAATCATCCTCAGTGAAAGTTACTTACCGACATCATGTGCTATTGCAACAAGTGTGGACGGTAACATTTAATGAGGGAAGATTTCAAAGGAAACATTTTAGTGCAACTAGAAACAACACTGCATTGAGTTCAGCTGCTTCTTCCTTTCCTTTTCTGTTTAATTAAAAAATACTGATGGAACAATCCAGCCAAACCTAGATTTAAGTCCCTTTGAAATCAATGGAACTTGTAAGTACTTAGCTAAGGTTGGACCGTACCCTAAAATTACCTTCCACCAAATGTCAACTGTAGGTAAACGAAGCAGAACTATGAATCAGCACTTTTCATTCTTCATCTTTCCGGGAATGAAACAAATTATCTAGGGTTAGCAATCAACAGAAACTCATACTCTTAATTTATTGTTGACCAAGGAGGTTAAGCCTTCTACCATGGAAGTGTTAAGTGATGTGGTCTGAAGCATGATGGGAAACAGAGAACCTTATCCTCCTCCTCTCTTTCTAGGCCAAACAGGTTCACACCTCTTCTAAAATGGCAGGAAGTTCATTGATTGTAACATTCTTGGTGTTTTACACGTCTCCCAGACCTCAGCTAAGCCAGACTCCTTTGGGCCAGGACTGATTCATAGTACAAGAGAAGCAGCTACAGCAGCTGCATCATGTCAGAATTTTTCAGGGATGGGACAAAAAGACACGTGAATGGCTCATCTTCTTGTTTTGAACACGCAGGTCCTCCTCCAAGGAAATCAGCTGCAGCCTTTGCTGTTCCAGGTTGGAAAAGGAAGTTGGCTCTTGTTGTGGATTTTCCTCCACACAATGGTAATATCTATACTGTACTTTCATTCAACATACTGAATAGGAACGGCTATTTCAGTCTTGCGAAGTGATAGTCCCCCTGGGACAATTTTTAAAAAAAAAAAAGCCTTAAGGAGATCAGAAGGAAAAGCTTGGCAAATTGGAAGAAAACCTGGTTGGTTTTTACTTTCCTCCTCCTTTCAGATGGTCAATGCAGAGCAAATGAGTAACACAGATGATATCTGTAGGCCAATATGCAGCTCATACATTACTTGTGTTTCAATTTCTTTCTTTTTTAACCCCAGCTAGTTAGAAACAAGCCACATCAAATGCAACAAAAACACCCCCCCAATGATTATTTCCCAATATGACTGTAATAAGTAATTATGGTATGTTTTAAAATGGCTGTGCTCACTAGTTTTATTTATCACAGAAGAAGGAAGCTGGGAGACCAGGGTCAAATCCTCCACTTGTATTAACTCTGGGGAAATTGGTGATTTAAGGGGCTTTATACACCCTGCAGAATCTCCAGATTCTTGTTTGCATTTCTTGCTGCGAGACTTTCCTGAAGACAAAGTTGAGGGCAACAGTGCCGATTTCTGAATGTTGGCAGAACTGCTAATATCAGCTTCATTTTTTTTCTGACTTTGAGGCTTAGGTGATATCTCCTGAATAAATAATAAGAAATTGATACTTTTATTGCAGTTTCTTCATTGCAGCTCTTGTATTCTACTTTTGATTTTTTTTAAAAAAAATAACTTCAGTATTTTAACACAACAGTACATTTTCAAAACAAATTCATAATGTTAAAAGCCAAGAAGATCAACACTTAAAAAAGGGACTCAGCCAAAGACCGCCATGTCAATCCAGCAATCTCATCCAGGCTGCCAGTGCTCTGATGCATCTTTGCAGTTCTTTATTCTCGAACACAATCTCTGTTTTAGTCATGAAAACCTCATCTGCACAGGCTTTTCCCCCCTAACTGAGACTGGCTCACCCCCTCTGGAAAAATGATTTCTGGATTGGGATGCAAGGCCTTGGACATCTCTTCAGTTCTCATAAATTGAACACAGTCATTCGTCTGATCAATTTTCTCTTCACCAGATTTTGTCGTATTTCTACACAGTCTTTTGAAAGGACTTCCCCATCAGACATGTTCAAATTAAGTTTTGGTTTGTTCTAAGTATTCAAGGGAATAAGTATTCTACTTCCACAGATTCAGGACCTCAAATCTTAAAATCAAATGAATGTGTGGCAGCAATATCTTACAATTGCTTACAAATTTACTTTAGTTTGAATACAAGACCTGAAGAGGCTGGCAGTGTCCCTTTGATTTTTAAAACCAACAATGATTAAACTGGCCCATTGATTCTTTAACATAGGATACCGATGTCACCACATGTCTTTATGTTAGGATGGCACAGGTGCTCAAACCGTTACTTAAATTGTTAGCTGGGGGAAAAAGAAACAGAACAGAAACACCCCACCAGTGCAATAGTAGTAATAACAACCAGACTGTGCCTGGCAGTAATAATAATAATAATAATAATAATAATAATAATAATAATAAAAAATACGCTGAAAGTTAGAAAAATCAAAACACACTGCATTTTCTAAAATGTGATTGGTCTACACAATATTTGTACAACGAACATGATGGATCAACTGAGTGAAAACAAAGCTTACATATCTTCATAACTTAAAATGCTGTTCCATTTAGTGCCCAAGGTCTTTGTCTCAATAAATTCCTTTGTTAAATCACAATTTTTATCTGCTTGTTTTCAAAAACCTGACCACCACAAAAGAACCACATTCACAATCTGACCATATTGGCTGTTTTTTTCATAACCTCTGTATGCAAGGAATATATTTTGAGTGCTGATCATTAGATCTCTCTGTTTTGTGCTGCCAAGCATCCCTAGAAACACACAAGAAGAAGACAACTTCTCCCCCAAGTCATTTTAGCTTCCCACCCTCTCTGCACCCCCAAAGTACACACCCTATCCCTCCATAACAGAAACGGAACAACTTGCCCCACGTAAACAGGTCCACGTGATGAAAGCGCAGACAGATTAAGACTGAATTTGAATTAGGAAGCTAAGACAGCATAGGATAGAGCAGCACTTGGTACAACGCCCTGCAGATGCCCACTCATGCTCTAAGTCATACTTGGTGTTACGGTGGAAGGACGAGGTCAGATCCTGGTGGCATGAAACATTTCATTCCGTTGTTACCCCTTTACAGTCAGTGAACCAGTTAATCATGCATACTGAGCCCAATTAAATCATGTCAAACAAACAGATGAAGGCTTGTAAAATATATCTATGCTGATTAAGGAAATTAACCAGAAATTAATTAGAGTCGTAACGTGTAAATAAACGATTTTATTGTTCATCTTCACATGTGTGAAAGACATCACTACAGCAACCATTACTTTCAAAGTTACAAAATTATTTAAAACAAGATTTTAAAACTTGTTCTAATAAGGTGCTTAACCTCTTAACAAGGACAAAATTAAACATTAGAAAAAATCTTAATGAACGTTATTCATTCGTCTATGCAAACGTTGTTCCGAAGTAAATACAACATGGCCCAACCCTAATACAGTCAAATGGACTACTGCACCTGTATCAAGTAACCTGAGGGTTTAGATTTTTTTTTGTAAAAAACCGCTGTACACCAGAAAGGGAGAAGAGAGGAATCAACAGCTTAACAGGACTGCTGGTTTGAATTAATCTTTCACATTATACTTTAAAAAAAACTGTTTCTGTTATAAGCTGCAGACAACATGGTCATTATAAAGCTATTTCAACCTGGGATGGAATGAATGCCAGCTCTCCTCAAAAAACCGATTGTAATGTTGGAGTCAGCTCTCCCCTCAACCTTTACAGCACTAACCATAGTTTATCTACATATGTACTGAGGCCAACCATGACAAATGTTTACCTGGGTCGATTATAACCATGATTTGAAAATCCATATAAAACTGTAGTCAAAATCTTTAGTTTAAAAGGAAACAACCATTGATGTTTGCACGCATGTAATTAAAAAATATGGCTGATATTGGGAAGGCTGAAGATAGCTCTGTAGAGTTCATGTATCTGCATTAGCCTTCTGAGGTCTCATTGCTCAGCCATTGTTTCTTTCAACTAGGCTTTTATTTTATTGTATTAAATGGTAACTTCAGAATCTTCACTATGCTCAACAAATCAAAGTTCAAATTTGGTACCTAGATAACTCTTGGGGGGGGGGGGAGTCCACACAACTTAGCTACTGGCATAAAACATTTTGTAGACTGTCAATTGGTAATGTTGACAACAACCTGAAGAGAAGTGTTCCTAATGTTTTCCAACCTAAATAAAACAGCCAAGTTTAGTTTAAAAATTGCAGCAAGGTCTACATTGAGCTGCTTAGAGGAAACATGTCTGCAAAACTGACATCATTTCAGTGGCGACTCTGGTTAATTAAGGCTAGCGTTGCTATGTTTGCAGAAGTGTCATCAGGTTGTCAAATTCTACATTTTACTTTATTTTCGGTGTATGTACAGAAGCAGCACACTATACATGGGAACTGGCTGCAATACCCCACCACATTTCCTAGGGTGCAAGTTCACTGTGACGCCTCTAAAGACTAATTGTCTATGATGTACTGGCAGGCACGTTTGGTGAGAAATAGTCTGTTTGCTCCTTCTCTTTGTTCTTACATACTGTAGCCTTGTTCATGTAGCCTTAGAGTCAAATCTATACTACGTAAGGAAAAAGAACTTTGTCTATAGTGTAGGAGGGAGAATGATTTAAAGCCAGAGGTCTCACAAGCTGAACACTTTCTAGTACCTCTGATTTTATGACTTGAAATTAATTCTGACTGGTTGTTTTTAAGCTGCAAACTTTATCCTTAATATACAAAGAAGGGTGAAGGATGGAACGGCATATCACAAAGAGAGTGAGCAAACTTCAAATAAAATATTGTTATGCCCAGTTCCTCTGAACAACACACACACAGCCTCTATAATATATAGTTCAACTTAGTATATGCCTGGTGTCATTTGTAATGGTGATGTTTTCCTGTTCGTGTTGTGGAGAGGGAGTAGGTGAAAGGACAAGGTATGGGGATCCAACCTATATGGAACTGGACCTTGTACTCAACAGATGAGCTGTGACTGACAACTGACCCTACCAGGAAGGACCACCATTGTTTTCTTTCTTCATATCTAACTTTCTCTTCTTGTTAAGAAGAGAAGAAGTTGGTAGGAAGAAAGAAGAAAACAAAGGAGAAAGATGGGTAAGCAGATGGGCTACGGTTGTGAATATATTGGCCAAAATTCTACTAGCATAAATTTATGGCATGGAAGCCAAATGACATCACCATCCAGTGCCAGTAACATTTCATCTAAATTAACTGAAACTTCGTAACCCTTATCATCCAAGGCTCCCTTGGGGTCCTTGCCCTGAGGTGGCCTTTGGAGGCCTCGGCACAACGGTGGGGCCTCTAAGAGCCGAAACCTGCCACTGGAGCGCCGCCAGCAGTCCTGATCACAGTGGCAGCAATCTGGCAGCATTTTTTTTTACATAATTAAAGGTTTCCATCCCACCGTTGTGAGGCTTCCAAAGGCTTCCCCGAAGCACAAAGAAGCCTGGGGACCTGAAAGGAAGGACTGGATATATTTAATTAATTTAAATTAAATTTTACTGGCACTGTATGGTGACATCATCTGGCTTCCACTGGCACAAATGTATACAAGAGAATTTTGCCCACCGCAAGAGCTAGACACTGCTTAGCATCTTCTGTTTTTTGTTAGGAGCCCTGCATTCTTTGAAGCATGCAGTTCTATCCTAAGAAGTTAGGCTGCATGGCAATATATAATTAAATGTTATTTAAAATTATTGTGGCAACACACTGACACCATGACGACTAAAAAACGGCCACTGGAGTCCAGTCTAAACTTACAACTGATTCCTAGTTTAGAGCCCAGGGATAGGCTGTAAAATCCCACTGGCCTCATCCAGACATGGTTTTCACAGCCACCAACACAACATACAATGAAGACAAGAGTGCTTGTTGTAGGTTTTTCGGGCTCTTTGGCCATGTTCTGAAGGCTGTTCTCCCTAACGTTTCAACAGTCTCTGCGGCTGGCATCTTCAGAGGACAGGAGTCACAACTCTGTCTGTGCTCTGGTGCAGTTTTGTGGGATAGTTGAGTATATATAGCTTTTGTCCTTTTCAGGAGATTGGGTGATTATGGTGATCTGCATGTTTTTTCTTGTGGGTGTATTGTTGTGATAAGGGGAAGAGATGATCTGTCACTGTGATCGATGGGTGTCGTTAGCTGGTCTTTTGTGTGCAGTGATCACCGGTCCTTGTGGCTGTGTAGAGTTCCTTGACCTTTTGTAGGCTGTATTTTTCAATTCTGGGAGTCAGGCTTTCTTGAGGATTAGACTGTCTTCTTTTTTGTTGAAGCTCTGCTGGCGTTTGTGGATTTCAATGGCTTCCCTGTGCAGTCTAACATAATGATTGCTGGTGTTGTCCAGTACTTCAAAAGACCAGCTAACGACACCCATCAATCACAGTGACAGATCATCTCTCCCCTTTATCACAGCAATACACCCAACAACAACAAAAACAGTTGATCACCATAATCACCTAATCTCCTGAAAAGAACAAAAGCTGATCCCACAGCTATAAATACTCAACTACCCCACAAAACTGCACCAGAGCACAGACAGACTTCTGACTCCTATCCTCTGTAGATGCTGGCCACAGAGAATGGAGAAACATTCGGAACAACAACCTTCAGAACACAGCTAAACAGCCCGAAAAGCCTACAAAAACCATCGGATCCTGGCCGTGAAAGCTTTCAAGAAGACAAGAGTACTGAAAACTGAGAAGAGAATCCAGTTCCTTTTCAGCTGGTTGGCAGTCAAACACCACAACAAAAGGGGTTAAAATGAGGTAAGGAGGAATTCACACAATCCCATGGCCCAGTTCCTAGGTTCAGTTGTAAGTCTGAATCAGGTATGCAAAAGCCACACATGACATAAGCAGTGTGGTATCAGAACCATCACAGGGCTAACGAGGGGAAAGAAAAGAGTAAGAATAATTATGCAGTTGCTTGTACAGAGGTTTTATTATGTGACACAGAGTGAGGGAGAGGTTTCAGAAAGGGTTGCTTTGAAAGGCTTTGATAGAAGAGATGCACTCTTCTTAAAAGGGGAAAGGTCTTTTAAATATGTTGCTTCCTACAGACAACAAAAAGTCACACTAATACCAATGTTAAGACTCTGATCTGAATAAATGAATGTGTATTTAGCTGTAGGTTTCTTAGTTAGCCTTCAAGCAAAATTTGCTGGAATATCAAAAACAAAGCAAAACTGTGAGCCACTCATGCCTGAAAAGTGCTAAACATGTTAAGGGCACAGTGACATGGTGGTTCCAGTGCATGCCAAGGTCCACATCCCTACAGCCGTGACATCACCCAATGGCTGTCTCCACCCATCCACACTAAGGGGGACTACTGCAAAGGTCTGCAGGTTTTATGGCAGAGGTCAGCATTATTATTTTTTTAAAAAAGAGCTTCCTTTTCACTTCCTGTTTAGTGCACAAGTTTTAAAACCGAATAGGAAGTTCCTGCTTTCCTCATGCAGTGAGCCTGCAATATGGCTTTTAGTTCACAGATTCTATATAGGCAAGGTAGTATGTCTACGTGTGAGAGTGTACCAGCATTTCTACCCAGGTCACGTCGGGGGAAATTATGGTGCTGTCTGTTCTAGATGGTGAGTTGACTTTCCCTGGATTGACAGTAAAATGAGTTTTATCCCTAAGCAGGATACCCTGCACCTTCGTACATTGACACTGATAGCTGGCAAGGGCTCTTACCAGGCAGGGAACTGAAAGATGCAAGCATTTCCATTCCAAGCTAGAAGCTGGAGATCCCCTACCCAACATTCCTATTAATGACACTGGACCTGAGGCTTCCACCTTACATCATATATCGGGATACTTACTACTGGGTACTTGACAAAGAAGGGAGACATTATATTTTAGTATTGTAATTCCCAGAATACCCCAGCTGAGAGTATTCCGGGAGTTGTAGCCCCAAAAGTAACATTTCCCATCTCTGGGTTTGCCTTGGTACGCATGTTGCAAACATGTGAACAACAAAAATCAGATTATTATAAGAAGAAAAAAACGGAGAGAGAGTAGCTCATCTCACTCAAGTGTACACATGCTTATAATGTCATCATCAGCACATTTTCAGACATGGACTCAAGTCGCTTCCATGCGTCTCAACTGCAATGTCAGCAGCGCCTCCTAATATGGTTAATCTAGCCCTGTTATTAGTAGGCACAGTCATGCGCAAAATGTGAGGCAGGAGGAAATTCAACCCAACAGAGTAAGCTAGACAAAATATTGCCACCTCCACTTCAGATGTTGACTCAAATGAAAGTCCCTAAGATGTTTTTCATGTCTCATCTTTTCATATTTATTAAAACATATACATCCTAGCCAAAAAAAAAAGGAGGAAAAATTATGGCTCATTGAACAGTTTCATAAAACACATACAAGTTTACAACACCAATTCTTACAACAGAAAGGAAACCTCTTACAAAAGAAGTTCTGCTAGATGTCAGAAACCCTGTGTCAGAACGCACAAACTAAATTTGTGTCAAGGGTCTACAGCCACCTGCGGGCACAATTATCTCAATTGAAATGGTACCAGGAGACAGACACCTCCGAGCTGTTTTTTTCTTCAGGAAGGCTGCTCATGAAAATAAAGGTAGCCATGGTTTGGGGGGTTATCAAGCCGTCTCATCCTAAGCGCACACTAGAAAAGGCAAGCTCAAACATAACCGTTGAACCTGCTTCCACCGTAGACAGCATTAGGATCGCAAACTTATTTTTTCATTCAATCTGTTTGGGCAGAGGTGTAAATGTACAAATCATTCTTTTGTCTGCTATTACTTTCTGTCTGGCAGGACAATGTTAGCATCACAGACCTGATATTTCCCATGGTACATTCCAGTAGGACCCTCGCAAAAGAATCAAACGCTACAGTTTCATACCTGCTCCAAGACTGGAGCTGCTTGTTTGCAGTCTTCCTTTTTTTCAGCACCATCAGCGCTTACAGCTTTGGATGCCAACAAACCTGGGAGGGGAAAAGGGAAACACAAACAGGATAGTGGAATGATTTTATTGTTCACACAATGCAAAGTATAACCTTGTTAGATGGGTATGAGTAGAACCCAATTATGTGTTTCGCAGAAACACATGAACAAAAATAAAAGACCCAAAAGGGCAGCAAAGATTAACTATATTCCCAAAATAGAAGTTTCTTCCTCCTTGGCATTGGCCTGGTAGTATCCTCAGTGATGCTGATGGTTACCATCAGCTAGGTATAGGTCTGATTAAAACTGGAACTGCCCCAGTCACATTTTTTGACTCGATTATGGCGAGCCTCTATGTTCATATATCGATAGTTAACATAATCATTTATGGTCTTGCAGTGCCAATTTCAGTCCACTCAGATTCTTGGAAAGCTGCTGATATTAGGATCCTCCACCCCCCACCCCCCCGCTCTGGCCAGTCCACTTATTGGTTGCCGCACGGCGCGTAGGCTGTTGTCATTCACCATGTGCTAGTTGTGAAAGTAGCTCAGCCAGCGCTTCTGTACCTCCCTGCCTAGCTAACCACTCCAGTGAGGAGGCAGGATAATGAGTCTCCCCACCCAGCTGCTGGGCAGTTGGCTGCACAGGGAGGTGGGGAAGTGCTTCCCGGATTGGCATGAGAAGAATGATGACAGCCTTGAATACTGGCAGTGCCCCTGCGAGACGAATACGAAAATCCCATGTCTACTTTTTACAAGCTGCTTGTAAAAGGTTTTGACAGTGCCCTATCAGATACATTATCATATAGGCAAAGAACTGAAACACAACTGTGCACAGCACTTATAGCAGAAAGAGGATTGTGCAGAATGAACCGAAATAAAAATAGCCATCATGACAACTCTTAAATGAATGCTTACCAGTGATCTTGTTAAGACGAGCCCTCTTTGCCTGAAAAGAATTGCCCAAGTTATTTTTCCTCTTGTGTGCTAATGCATTTTCTGCCTGGACAAAGGCAATCTTTGGGACATCCACTAGAGGGAATCCTAGATTAATAACAGAAAAAAGATGCATCCAGTAGTCAAAAATGTGTACAAAAACAAAGCACTTCACATTTTGTTAAATATTTATTACTATATATCAGCCTCCTCCAAAATAGCGCCTCTAAGTCTCAGATTGAAGCTTCCACTACCCCCAGTGAATATGGCTATCTGGTCATGCAATGGGAATGATAGGAGCTGCCGTCCAACAAATGAGGAGGGCCCCCAGATCAAGGCAGACTGCTACATGCTATAATGCCTTTTTCTTTCCTTGGCTGGCAACAATGTTCAAAACCATCATGGCAGAGTCATCTGACATTCATCTTGTGCCTTGGTGTAAAGGCTTTTCTTTAGCATGATTACATGGAATTAGCACTTAAACCTCATACAATCAGCACTGGCGAGTGAGATTTGGAGTGACAACAACAGACACGCAATCACAAGAACTCTGCTCACTTTTGAGCTATCCTCTGGCAAGGCCAGGACATCTCCCATCAAGAACGATGCAAAAAAATGCTACTTGACATCTCAAGGCCATGTGCCCGCACATGCTGCAAGCAAAAATTAAATGAAGAGGTACACCTTATCCACATGAAAGGTGCACATGTTTTTATCATGCCTTAGGCCCTGTCTCTGGAACCTGTCTTCAAAGGCTAAATGGTTAATGAGTGAGGAAAAGACCTTTTCTGTGGTATCAGCATATGCATGAAAAACCCTCCTATCACCTGTTCACCTGACAGCATCATTCACAGAATCATAGAACAATTGATTTGGAAGGGGCCTATAAGGCCAGAGTCCAACACGCCCCCCCCCAATGCAGGAATCCAAATCAAAGGATACCTGCCAGGTGGCTGTCTAAATTTCTCTCACTCTTAACTTCTTTGGAGTTAACTGAGAATTCTATTCTCCAAGGCTTTAAGTGATTATTTATTTTAATCTACTGTACTGTCCTGGCTATTATTAATCTTTTTTAATACTTGGATTTCAGCCAGTCTGTCTGTTCATTTCCCACCACCTCAGCAAACACACACCTCTCGTGAATAGTTGTAGTCATTTTCTGGAATCTGCTTTAGCACTTTATATGGAAAGGTGTGACAAACAATGTCTTAAAATAAATAAAAGAAGGGGCTGGTTAATGGTGGGAGTGGCAACAACAAGCTATGCGGCCAGGGACTCAAGGCGGCCACTGTCACATGCCCTAAAGAAGAAGCCAGAGGCAATCCTGCCAAAATGCGCCCTTCACCACTCTCCTGCACCATAACATGTTCTTTTCCATTTTTCTGAACGGTCGTGGGACAATCATAAAAATATGAATGCAACTAATCTCAAACACCCAAAATAATACAGTTTCATGCCGTCCCAAGCTTTAAATGCAAGTTGGGTGATGCCTGATTCATGAAAAACAGAAGAAAGAACGTGTGTTTTTCATATTCAAAAGATGGCCACTTTATTCACTAAGGACAGACTCTGATGAAACACATTGCCTCTGATGTGATGTTCAGCAACATGTCATTTATTTTATCTTCCATTGTTATTTCACAAATATAGAGCACACATGTATGCACACACACACATCCACTCTAGAAGATCACAGGTAGGTGTTAGTGCACGCCTTACACATGACAGACTGGGAAAGTATGAGAGTTTGCTTGTACCAAATGTCTCACTAGACGTTGGCTGTTCTTCCTTCTTCTGGACCTCCTGAACAATTGTGGACGTTGACGTCTCTTCCTTCTTTGAAGGTACTTTAAACCACTTTCTCTCCTCCTTGTCTTTATTGCTGTTTGCGCTGGTCCGTGGTTTAACTCCTGCTTTATTTTTGGCTGCTGCCACTGCTGCAGCTTTGACCAAAGCTATCCAGTCCTTTTGGGGAGGGAGGGAGAGAGAGGAACCAAGATCAAAAAGATAAAAGGAATAATGAACGGTGAACAAAAAGAAAGGTCCTGGAAGCAAATGCTTTCACAATACATAGTTTAGACTTGTATATTTTGAGTCACCTTCTGTCTTTCAGGCAAACTGGTACTTAAATATTAAAATTTAAAAGGTTTACACAAGTATGTACAAACACACAGCTGAATGAAACTCTTATGTCTATATAGCAACCTTCTTAGAAAAAACAGATACTGAGCAAACCCGAGTAACAGAGATTGTACTGATAAGAGTGAATAGTTTGTCTCTTTGGAAGTCACACATGTTAAAACTGCTTGTCATGCACAAATAGTCAGATATTTGTCCATCTAATCTCTCAGCCTGAGATCTTTGCCAGAGCTCTCTATGAGCACGGATCCTTCACATCATTTGTAACCTAATACTTTTAAAGGGAGCTGCAGGGACTGAATTTATGTCTGATGCTTACTTTCAAAGAATGTTCTCTACTACATACAGTCTCTTTCTTATGCACACATCTAGCTTTTCTGTATCATAACCATGTCACTTAACCAACATACTTTCAATAATCTAGAATTAATATAGAAATAACTAATCATTACTTTCTTCTAGTTCTGTTAACTCTAAACACAGGTACCCAACCTGTGGGCTACGATCCCCACGGGGTCAGAAAGTGTTTTCTGGGGGATTGCTGCAGTTTTCAGAGGGGAATACATCACTCTTGGTTCACATGCCCCCTCCCACTGTAGGGCTCCAGGGCATGCAGGCCCCCCTGACTGCGTTGAGTGGCAGTGGCGGCAGCTGCTTCTCAGCTCTGGTGGCTAGCTGATTGGCTTTGGCAGGGGACCGGAACAGGCAGGAGCAAGAGGCAGGACCCAGAGGCAACAGAGGTTCAGAGGTGAGGAGGAAGCAGCAAGTTGGAGGGAGAGTAGGGAAAATGGTGGTAGAGGAGGAAAAGGCAGCGGCTGCCACTGCTGAATATATTTTGCTCCTTCTGCATCTCAGCTGCACTGCCATCTTAGGGAGTATGGCTGAAGAAGAGGAGGGATATGAGTGGCTTTAAGAAACACTGCTGGATAAGTCAGTGGTTTACTTCTCTGGTTGCAGAGCCAGAGGTTGGAAGTTCAATTCCCCCCTGGGGCTCCTTGCCAGCGACTGGACTCCATGATCCATAGGGTCTTTTCCAGCTCTGCAGTTCAAAAGTTGTTGTTATCATTATCATTATTATAATCATCATTATTATCATTATTATTAGAAAATGGTTGCCCAGACGCAAGTACAATGATCACATTAAATATTATGTTAGATTTATATTCTGAAAAATCTATTTTAATGTTTTCCTTTGCCCATAAAAGGGATGTGGTGGCACTGCGGGCTAAACCGCAGAAGCCTGTGCTGCAGGGTCAGAAGACCAAGCAGTCGTAAGATCGAATCCACACGACAGAGTGAGCGCCCGTCGCTTGGCCCAGCTCCCGCCAACCTAGCGGTTCGAAAGCATGTAAATGCAAGTAGATAAATAGGGACCACCTCGGTGGGAAGGTAACAGCGTTCCATGTCTAAGTCGCACTGGCCATGTGACCACGGAAGATTGTCTTCAGACAAACGCTGGCTCTATGGCTTGGAAACGGGGATGAGCACCGCCCCCTAGAGTCGAACACGACTGGACAAAAATTGTCAAGGGGAACCTTAACCTTCGCCCATTAAAATGCCTTTTTATGCAAATGTGGTAAGGAGCCACAGGTTACATGGCTATTATAAAATGGGGTACAACTCAAAAAAAAAAGGTTGGAAAACACTGCTCTAACCTCTCCTTCCTTAGCTAAAGATAATGCATCATCAAGAAAGAGAGATGTAAACCATCTCACTTTTTTCTCTCATAAAATAGTAGTGTGGGATAGCTACAGTCTATTGCAACATCAAGTTCCAATCTCTATGGGGAAAAAAATCCACAGCAGCTGCTGAAAGATGATTCTACCCCTTAGGTGGCCAACCACAACATTCAGATGTTTTGCAGCTGGATGAGCATAATGCATGGACATTCATGGATATGTTCAGGACACACATGTACCCTAGACACTTACAAAACCTGCTTGCACCAAGGTGAATGAACGTTTTACTATCTGCTTGTATGTGCTCTTCCAACACCACATAGAGGGCTTTCATCATTTTTCAGCCACCTCAGTAACATCAGCATTGCAACTAAAACACTGGATAAATAGAAAGGCAGACACACCAACAAGAAGTATTTCTGGAAACCCTTTTCTATTACATGAATCATGTACATTACTTACCGATTCAGGCGTTAAGACCTATATTGGCCACCTGCTCCTTTTAATCAGAGGCCAGCCAATCAAAGAGACTTCCTACCATTCTTTAAAAGACATCTAATTTACTGTATGTTGTTGCACTTTTACAGAGGCAGGCCACCCTCTGGATATCATAAAATAATGGAACTGGAAGAAGCCTATAAGGCCATTGAGTCCAATCCCTGATCAATACAGGAATCCAGATAAAAATATATCTGAAAGATGCTGACTCATTTTCTCTTGAATGCCTCTCGTGCTGGAGCACTCACCACCTCCCAGGGTTATTGGTTCCATTATCATACTGCTCCAACAGTTATGACATTTTTCCTAATATTCAACCGAAATCTGGCTTCCTGTAATTTGAGCTCAATATTATATGCCCTGCACTCTGGCATGACTGAGATCAGATCCTGCCCCTTCTCTATATGGCTATCTTGCACATATTTGAAAAGTGCTTTAGTATCTTCCCTCAGTCATCGCTTCTCAAGGCTAAACATCCCCAATTCTTTCAATCTTTCCTTATAGAGCTTGGTTTCCAATCTCCTGGATCATCCTTGTGGCCCTCCTCTGAACTTGCTCCAGTTTGTCTGTATCCTTCTTAAAGTGCAGTGTCTAGAACTGGTCACAGTACTCAAGATGAGGTCTAACCACTGCAAAATAGTGGGAAATAGTACCTCTCAGGATTTCAGTACTATACTTCTGTTAATGTATAACAAAATAGCATTTCTCTTTTTTGCAGCTGTATCACACTGTTGGCTCCTATAAAGCTTGTGGTCTACAATAATTCCAAGATCCTTCTTACATGCAGTATTATTGAGCCAAGTATCCCCCATCTTATATCTATACCTTTGGTTTCTTTTTACTAGGTGTACAACTTTGCACTTATCCCTGTTAAATTTCATTCTGTTGTTTTCAGCCTAGTGCTTGAGCAATCAAGATTTTTTGAATTTTGCTTCCGTCTTCCAGGGTATACCTATTCCACTCAATTCTGTCATATGCAAAATGGATAAGCATTCTTCCAAATCATTAATAAAATGCTGAAGAGCATCAGCCCCAGAACTAATCTTTGTGGTATCCCATTTGCTACCTCCTTTCAGTTTGGGAAGGAGCCATCCACATGGCAGTTTTATCCAGCCCACACCTTGTTAGCTTGCTAATCAGAATATTAAGAGGTGCTCTGTCAAAAGCTTTGCTGACTTCAAAATATATTACATCTACAGTACAGTATTCCCACTTACCAGGGAGGTTACCCGATCAAAAAACATGATATAAGATTGGTCTGGGAGGATTTGTTCTTGACAAATCCATGTTGGCTTCTAGGTTTTCAAGGTGCTTAGAGAGTAACCTTGCTTATAGTCTGCTCTAAAATTTTCCCTGGGATTGATGTCAGGCTGACTGGTCTGTAGTTCCCAGGTTCTTCCTTTTTTGCCCTTTTAGGGATGTTAGTCCTCCTCCTATCATCTGACACTTCTCCCATCCTCCACGATCTCAAGAAAACAACAGACAGTGGTTCTAAGAATTCTTCAGCCAGTTCCTTCAACACTCTTAGATGCAGTTCATCCAGCCCTGGAAATCTGAATTTGTTCAAAGTAATAAGGTATTTCTTGATTATTTGTTTATCAATTTCAAGTTGCAATCCTGTCCGCCCCACTTGTACTTCACATTTGCCAGGAGGGTCACAGACTGTCTTTTGGAAAAATATTAAAACACACACATTGATTCATACCGTTTCCCCGAAAATAAGACCTAACCTGAAAATAAATCCTAGTATGGTTTTTCAGGATGCTCGTAATATAAGCCCTATCCCAAAAAGAAACCCCAGTTCAGTGAAAGCTTGCCCTCCGCCACTGTGCAGCATTGTGCAGCAACCAGAAGAAGATGACATGACTGCATCTGAATAAATGTAGATGGTTGTACATGAAAAAAGAAATCCTCTGAATTAAACCCTAATGTGTTTTTTGGAGCAAAAATTAATATAAGACCCTGTCTTATTTTTGGGGAAACACAGTAGTAGGTGCAGTACAACACACATTTATTCCATCACCCATATCTACACAGATATACCTTTAAAAGCAATTCCTGAACCAAATAAAATACAGCTGAAAGCATCAGAACAAAACCAAAAAAAGCAAATCAACTATTGAGACAGTAAGCGTCAGTTAAGGGGTGATTCAAAACTATTCTAAGTGTCAGGATTTTGGCACATAGAGATAAGAGTACTATGCATTTTGGGAAGTGTTTATTTCAAAAAATTAATTTAGAGCAGTAGCTCCCAAACTGGAGTCCTCAAATATTTTTGGACTGCAACTTCCAGAAGATGTGCTGGCAAGGGCTTCTCGGAGTTGCAGTCCAAGAACATCTGGGGACCTGAGGTTGGGAACCACTGTTTTAGAGGGCCAGCCTTATTTATTTATTTGTTTGTTTAATTTCTAAACCACATATCTGGCCAATGATCACTCTGGGTGGTGTACAACAGTAAAAACAATTATACAGAGTTCAATTAACATTATATAATAAAGCTAAAGTTAATTTAAAATCAGTCGGATGGCTGCAGGTGATAAACACTCACTGAAACAAAGTCTTTAGCGAGGGCATAATTTAAAGAAATAAGAAATGTTTTAAAGATTTCTTGAGAATCTCCAGGTGAATTTCCGGCAGCAATTCATTCTAGAGCAGAGGAGCAACCACTGAGAAGGCCCAGTTCCTTGTTTTCTCCTTCCAGGCCTCTGTTTGGGTCACCATCCTCAGCCACCCAGCCTGAGATGGCCAGGTAGGACAGGCAATCACCCTTGGAAGGAAGCGTTCTGGCATATACCAAGGTCCCAAACTGTTTAGGGACAAACCCATGGCAACATTCCACATGAGAAGTAACCATGCTGCCACATTACTCGGTGCCACAAAGTGTACCTGATAAGATTATGTCAGTTGCCCAAAACATAAATTTGCTAAAACATCATACAACAGAGATCTGGAAGTTGAGTCATGACAACCAGACTTCTTTCTTGTTAGATTGAAATGTTTCGCTACTCATCCAAGTAGCTCCTTCAGTCAGACTGAAGGAGCTACTTTGATGAATAGCGAAACATGTCAACCTAACAAGAAAGAAGTCCAGTTGCCATGACTCAAACTTCCAGATAACTTAACCTGGATGACTGAGAGTGTTCACAGATACATAGAACAGAGAAGGGATCATTTGACTAGAAACTTTTTTTCATCATTGTTTTTCTTGGGGCTATTCTAAGCACAACAGAGAAGGGATCATTGGACTAGAAACTTTTTTTATCATTGTTTTTCTTGGGGCTATTCTAAGCTGTCATACTGGCTGCCATTATAGGGAGCTACAGATCCCTGATAAATATTTTATACACTGATCAAAATCTTTTTGTTTAGCATACTAAATCACACTAAGCAACAGGAGTTTTGCCAAAATACATTTGTCACATTCACACTAGGCATTGCAACGAATATTATCTTCTGTGTAAATAAACAGGTGCTCATAACCACCCAGTGAAAACTAGTTTTTAATTAGTCTTTCATTTTGTTTCATTGCAATCTTTAACTCAAATAAAATGCACGCACTGAGCACAACTTCTGTAAATTTACAGTATATCTACCATACAGTACCTGAGTTATGGGGCCATAAAAGCTATAAATATGTATTATACAACTGATAACACTGGTTTAATCCTAATCAACAGGACTAAATTGCTATTCTTTTGCAAGAAAAATATTTTATAACATATTCCTATCATATAGGTTACTATCACAAAGCCAGCCCTACACAATGTGGGTTTTCCAGAGAAGTTTCAAGTGTCATTTCCACTGCTCTCTTTAGATTGTATTGGTTTACTAAACAGAAATATATGGTGTGAATTTTATGCATGTTACAGTTTAGCCAGTTTTTGTACTGGCTAAAATGTTATTTAAACTGAAATCCCTTTGGGAGAGTGGGGGAAGGTGTTAATAATAGATATAAAAAATGGACAGAATATTCTGACCAAAAGGTCAAAAGTTTTGTATTGAAAATAAATACTTGCAAATGTTTTAATACATACTTTCCTTATACTGTTGAAACTTTAAAATAAAAAATGAATATAACCAGTCAGTCCTCTGGCACCTTCCACTTATGCTTGCTGGACATAACCTAATCTGTGTATTTACACATCAAACACCATTTTATCTGAAGCAGCTTAAACACTGAATAGAACACAAGCTGCAACATAGATAAGGCGATACCTTTTGACGAGCCCATTTCTGTTGTGCATGTGCCAATATGCACACTTCTTGTCCGACATATTTACATCGTCTGGTGATCGGATCTAGAAAACCTCATCTAGTTCTCTGACAACCTCATTTTTTCTGCCACTTTGGCTGTATTTGCAGAACAGGACCTTCTTATCTGAAGGTCTATATCTACATTTACTCCGAACATATTTCAGTTAATTCCATATCAATACTAACAGCACATTTCATTAACTATTTTTCTAATATTTCTGTTTAGGTAGTTAGATATTTTTCCACTCTAGTGGAGGAGCTACAGTGACTATCTGGAAAAGATTTCAAATTTTGGGTAGGGGTACCCAAATTTTGGGTAACCCCAGTGCAGAAACATACCTAAGTACCACAAAGGAACAATGAAAACTGCCTCCAAATCCTGCATGGCTGCATATTCCTTTTGATTCATAACACCACTTTGCAAGATCGAGAATACAGAACTTTCAACTTTGCAAGAAAATGAAAGTAGTGCTTCCCTACCTGCTAGTTACCAATACTATTTATTATTCCAATAACTACAAATTACCTTAAATATACATTGAAGCTGCAACAACGGCTTTCATTCTCACCTGAAGCATTATTTCTACCTGAAACATACTGGACTGCTTGCTGTCACCTTCTGCGGATCTACACAGCTCTGCCCCACCTCTTTTACAGCTCTCATTGTCCATCTACTGTCACCTCTTCTGCCGCTTCTTGCCCAATCAAGTTCTTACGGATTGTCCTCAGCTTCTGTTTCCTGTGTGCCAAGATCCCTCCCTCACCTTCAAATCCCTCAAAACTCACTTCATGTTGCTCGTTATCCGTCACTAATCTCAGCTCCGGTGCTATCTGCTGCCTCTCCCGCGCCTAATTATATTGAAGATAAAACACAAATATGGAAACATAAACACCTTTTCACTAGCAGGCTCCATTCACATACTTTAAAAAAAACACATCACCCTTCCTCACTTATATTTATCACCTACTTCAAGAGTTAAAGATTTTTTTAAAAATAGAGTAACCAGACCTACAAAATATATGTCTAATCAACAAATATTGATACAGGTCTTTTGCTTTGAATCCCTCACAGCCAATAGGTTATGATCATCAAACTTTAAAGACACTACTGCAATGCTAAAATATCAGTTATTTAAAGGGAAAATGTTTAACTCTGTTCAATTTAGTAGAATGTATTACAGCTTCAACGATCAGTGAAGCAGGAAATGAAATTTACTGTTAATTTGTCCCATTTATAAATGTTTGTATATACAGTGCAAGATCCTTCCAACAGAAAGACTGAACAAAGTCAATAAAAGCTTGTGTTCCAATGAAATTTATTAGTCTTTGAAGGAACCACAAGGGACTTGTTCACAACAGAGATTAGTCAAAAGCAGAAGAAACAAACACGTTACAGTATTTTTACAGATTTACTCTGATAGATATTGTACAAATAACTTAACTGACCTTCTTAGGATTACTTTTAAATGCATTCACAATGCCTATTTGCACATTAGATTGTCAATTGAGATTCACTTAATTTACTTTAAAATTTTTCTTCATTTTCCTGACAATCATGTTATCCACCAACATCTTTGTAGTTATGCCAATCCACTCCTACTGCACAAACCTCACATCTGCATTTCTAAAACCAACACCTCAAATACAGTAAAATATTATATCAGAGTTTTCAAATCAGATGCCGATAGCAATCCGTTCGCAGGGGACCCTGTTTTAATTTAAAGTTGCTATTTTTCTGTATTACATCAAAAGATATTGGGTGTGACCAACATTTTCAGCACTACCTGTGAACAACTACATTTTATGCCAACATTTCATGCCGTGGCTAATGCAACACTGGCAGTCTGGGTCATCTTCCAGTCATAAATATAGCTGTCCACCATGCACAATGATAAGAATTAATGCAATTTTTCATTCAAATTATGCAGATATGTTTGAAGACACAGTGACATACTATTTCAATATTATTATTACTTTCTAGAGAACTGTTTAGACAACGAAGCCATTTCTAGAATTCCTACCAAGGAATTTCTATCCAATTAAATCTGTGGTTAGGCTTCTCAAGCCTTTGGCAGTGTATCACCAACGGACGTCACTCCCACGACTGGCACCGATAATGTCAATGTTCCTAGTTCATCCGTGATGCCAGAGGAAAGAGCCCACATACAGCCCCATCCAAATATGCCTGACTGGCCTAGAATAGCTCTTAAGAATTGATGAACCAAAGTTCATAGAAAGAGTCCAAACATCCTCTCCAGCTGTGCACGTAAGCTGACTAGTTTGATTTAAGCCAGATGTGTGAACAAAATGCTGAGGTAAAACTCTGAGGAAGCTAATCTCTCTGATTGGCCAATAAAGTTGATAGCCTCTGAGCATTTGGTTGTTGGGTCGAAGGAGGAGAGAGAGATAAGGACACACTCTGAAGGACTGATTTATGATGCTGGATATCGCTACAGACTCTGACTACATATTATGGTAACTGGACTGAATTTGAATGCTTTACTGTGTATGCCTATTGAAATGGAATAAGACGACTCTGTATATGACTCTGTCGTTGTTGTTTAGTTGTTAAGTTGTGCCTGACTCTTAGTGTCCCCATGGACCAGAGAATGCCAGGCCCTCCTCTCTTCCACTGCCTCCCGGAGTTGGGTCAAATTCATGTTGGTAGCTTCAATGACCCTGTCCAACCATCTTGTCCTCTGTTGTCCCCTTCTCCTCTTGCCCTCACACTTTCCCAACATCAGGGTCTTTTCCAGGGAGTCTTCTCTTCACATAAGAAAGTCAAAGCATTGGAGCCTCAGTTTCAGGATCTGTCCTTCCAGTGAGCACTCAGGGGTGATTTCCTTCAAAATGGATAGGTTTGTTCTCCTTGCAGTCCAGGGGACTCTCAAGAGTCTCCTCCAGCACCACAATTCAAAAGCATCAATTCTTCGGCGGTCAGCCTTCTTTACGGTCCAGCTCTCACTTCCATACATCGCTACTGGAAAAACCGGTGACTCTACTACTACTATATGACTCTACTACTACTATAAACAATAGTTTTTCTATACTTTAACCGACTCTCATTCCACTATTTGTCTGCATACTGGTGCCTGAATTGGATAAATCTCTGCTAAGGCAAAGGAAAAGGCACTGCCTAGACCTAAAGTACCTGTCAATGCCCACCCAGCAGGAAGCAGTGTATGCTTTCAGAAAAGTACTACTGATTCATGATGGTCAGCAGGTACCTTACTTTTCACAGAATGTAATGCTTTACAATAGACTGCAATTTGAGGAGTGTAAGATAGCACATGGTCACCATGGTTCACAATAAAGCAACAAATGGATCAGAATAGAGCAACTAATGCCTCCCATCTAGAATTAATCACCTGCTGGGTAATTGTGTCAATAGAAAGAGCAAGTGGCTGTATTCATTCATACATTCATCTTTTCTACCAATCCATTACTGCGACCACACCCGGGGCTGTTCACAACCCATCAAAGCATAATTACAAATCATGCCATACAAACCATAACATACAATAAATACAATAAAACCCTCTCACTAGATGAAATGATAAAACCTGTACAGTGGTGCCTTGCATAGCGACGTTAATCCGTTCCGGATTAATCGTCGCTATGCGAAAACATCGCTGAACGGAACGGAAAAAGCCATAGGAACACATTAAACTTTGTTTAATGTGTTCCTATGGAGGATAAACTCACCGTTCAGCGATGTTCCTCCATAGGGGCGGCCATTTTCGGTGCCTCTAAAGCGAGGCAGCACAGCGGGTCGGCCATTTTGGAACCGCCGACCAGCTGACCGAAAATGGGGCCTTTGACATTTTCCCCCAGCTGAGTGGCGGGAGCTCCCGCTCAGCTGGGGGAAAAATGCCTGCGGTGACCTCCGAAGGACCCTTTCAAAGAGTCCTTGCGAGGCCACCGCAGGCATTCCGCTTTTGAGGGGGCATTTTCCCCGAGCTGAGCAGGAGCCCCGCTGCTCAGCTGGGGGAAAATGTCGGCGGTGGGCGACATTTTCGGATTAACCTCGTTATGAAAGGCACCACTGTATGTATGTATGTATGTATGTATGTATGTATGTATGTATGTATGTATGTATGTATGCATGCATGTATGTATATGTATATGTATATGTATATCCAGTGCAGGGGGTGTCATCACCCCAAATTGGGGATGCAGTGTGTCCTGTTATTGCTTTATGTGGATGATGCTGTTATCATCTTGCATTCCAGTCCAGGTGTGAAATGTTTAACTAACAGCACTGTGGAATTCCTGGACAAAAACAAAATGCAACTAAATTATAATCAATCCCAAATTTTGGTTTTCTCAAAGTCGTGAAAGCAATTTCAATGGAATCTGAATGGGCACAAAATCGAAGAGGTGAAAGAGTATCAACACCTAGGCATCCTGTTCCATTCTCTCTAGCCAGATATATTATAGGTTCAAAAGAATCTTGTACCTCAAAAGACACTACTCATGTGGGTCCGATGGCAATTTTTATATATACAGTGGTGCCTCGCACAATGAGTGCACCGTAGAGCGATGAATTCGCTCTACGAGGCCGGTTTTGCGATCGCAAATGCAATCGCATACCGATGCCTCAATAGGGCGAAAATCGCAGAGCGAAGGTCGGTAAGTGGTTCGCTCCAAAATGGCTGCCGGATACTGCAAAATGGCCACGCGCAGCGTTTTCACGCCCTCCTTAAGCGAGGGGAGGGCTCGAAAATGGCTGCCGGCCATTGGAAAAGCATCGCTGTACGGTGAGTAAAGCTGCTATTGGAACGCATTAAACTAAGTTTAATGCATTCCAATGGTTTTTTCCTTCCCGTACAGTGATGCTTTCACACAGCGAGGGTTAATCCGGAACGGGTTAACCTCGCTGTGCGAAGCACCACTGTATTTTAATTATTATTGTATTTTAAAAGTAAGCCGCCCAAGGACCTTTGGGTAGTGTGGGCGGCATATAAATCAATCAATCAATCAATCAAATA